CGCTGTGCTATCGCTCCAGTCCTATATCTATATCTATATCTATCTATATCTGTATCTATATCTATCCCTTTACTTCCTTTCCAAACTCAATTCTTGTTCAGAATGACCATTTCCAACTGCCACTATCATAGTGGTGCCTTTTCTAACCTAAGTGCAAGGAATCCTAACTGCTGTGCTATGTCTCCAGTCTCTGAGCCATGCTTTTAAATTAATTCATTTAATGGTCTCTCATGACAACCCATTACCATATCTAAGGAAGGCATGTATACTTTATGCTTTATACTCAAAACCAAAAAGTATCCTGCCCGCACGGCAGAGTCTGTACAAACTTCCCGTGTCGTACTCAATATGCCAAATACCAGTAACAATGATGGGTCTCATTCTCCTAATCCTGAAAGAGCATTGAAATGGCTCTTTTCAAATCTCAGGGCTAGGACGAAGGAGACGTTACTGGTGCCTGCTCGAGGAAATCGACGAACAACAGGATGATCGTGATTGTGATCGTGAGTCAAAACCATGCAGCTGGAAAGACAAGATTTATTTCATCATAATTTTTCTATCCAAATTACCAAGTGAACTTGAGTTTTTACAGAGGTGAGATGCAAGGGACATCAAGAATAGTTTTCTGTCTGGGCATAGAGATGATGTACTAATACTGATAGAATTTGGCACTATGATGGGGAAACTGGTCCTTTATAGAATATCATGTCAAGCAAAACTATTTCTGTCACATATAATTTGGAGAGCTTATGTAATCTTATATATTTTTGAGCAGAACTTTGGGTTATACCCTGCAGAGCTGAGGGCTTATGTCTGGCTCGAAGCTCAGGAATCATGCTTGGCAATGGTCAGGAGACCATATGCAGTGCTGGGGATCGAACTGGTGTCAGCAACATGGAGGGTAAGCCCCCTACCCCCTGCACTATCTCAGTGGCCCCCTGGATTTTCTTTATTTATCTGTTTTCCCTCTAACTTTTCTTTTTCCCTTTTGATGTTTTGCATATTTTAAAAGCTTTTGTTATTGATATATAGTAACCATTTTAGCATTTAGTAGAATTTTTCTATCTTTATTGTCCATTAAAGAGATTAAGATAGTATGCTAAGTACATTCTATTTTTATGATGAAATAAAACTGCTAGCATATATAATTTTTTTCCAAAGAAAATGAACCATATTCTCTCAGACTATGGAAAGGACTATGGAGAAGCATAAAAGAATGTGATGAGATTACAGAGCTAAAGGAGATTAATTGTGAGGGCTTGAGTGGATCTCAGGAAAGACATCAGGGAAGGTACTTTAGATACGCTTTAAAATAATGAGAATCGTGATTGATGGACGAGAGAAAATGACAAGGATGATAGACTCTTAATCCAAATTGACCCCAACAGGCTGAAATAAGTGATCAACAGAAAAAAAAAGGCAACAGGCAGAGTTAGTTTATGGGTTACAAAAAAAAAAGGAAAATTAAAATTACTTATCAAGGAGTACAGAGGAATAATAACTCCAAAGACAATTAGATGCCAGGAGGAGAAATAGATAAATGCATTGAGTTCTAGTCGCTTGAATCAGAAATAAGGGGGAAACACTTAGGTGCAAATATCTTTATGGCCCTAAAAATATTGCAGGAGCTAGGGCGTGAGCTGAATAGACTGGCATTTTGAAGTTGAGAGAATGACTTTCTAGAAAACGGAGCTGGGTATACCACTCCTGGGAATATATCTCAGAGAGGCAAAAATGTATAGTCGAAGTGACATCTGCACTTGTTTGTTCATTGCAGCACTCTTTACAATAGCCAGAAACTGGAAGAAACCTGAGTGCCCAAGAACAGATGACTGGTTAAAGAAACTTTGGTACATCTACACAACGGAGTACTATGCAGCTGTTAGAAAAGATGAAGTCATGAAATTTACATACAAGTGGTACTACATGGAAAGTATCATGTTAAGCGAAATGAGTCAGAAAGAGAGGGATAGACTAGAAAGATTGCATTCATCTGGGGAACATAAAGTAACAAAATAGGAGACTAACACCCAAGAGTGGCTGAGATTAGTACTGGGAGGTTTGCTCCATGGCTTGGAGGTCAGCCACACATACTAGGGGAAAAGGCAGCTCAGATAGAGAAGGAAGCACCAAATAAAAGGTGTTGGGAGGATCCTCTCAGGATGGGAGAAGCATGCTGAAAGTAGACTATAGACCAAACATGATTGCCACCCATTGCCTCTTTTGCAAACCACAACACCCAATAGGAGAGAGAGAGCAAAAGGGAATGCCCTGCCACAGAGGCATGGTGGGAGGGGGGAATGGGTGGTGGGAGGCATACTGGGATCCGTGATGGTGGGAAATGGGCACTGTTGGAGGGATGGGTATTTGATCATTGTATAATTGAAACCCAAGCACAAAACTTTGTAAGTCTACAACTGTACCTCATGGTGTCTCACTAATAAAAATTTAAAAAAACAAAACAAAACAAAACCAAAAAACTGTGCTGGGTTAGTTGAGCTGGTGATTGAAGCTCTAAGACAACTTCTGTAAGGACGAGGGAGAACAACCTTGCAGCCAAGAAGAGTCAGCACCTGTGTTGGAAGTCTTGTGGCTTTTCTCCAAGGGTTACTGGGAGCTATTCTGCTCTCCTCAAGATGAAAGTGTGTGTCAAGGAAACAGTGATCCAGGCTTTGCCTCATGGAGACATTCTGGGTTTGGAGAGACATAGCTCTTTACAATGACCAGGTTTCCACAAGACATCCAAAGAGACCAGTGTGCTAGAAATGCCCAAGTGGGTTGAAGATGATGAGCAGGACAGGGAGGAGAGAGGAACAGAGGAAGACGGTTTGTTTTGGGGCCTCATGCAGCGGGAACCCCCGGCTTCCTTATGTGCTCCATCACTGCCCTATTTATTAATAGGGAGCTGGGGGTTGAATTTATTTCAGTGTTTAAAATTGAATCACCATGAGATACACAGTTACAAAGTTGTTCCTGACTGGGCTTCAGTCATACAATGTTCCAACACCTGTTTTTTCATCAGTGTACATTTCCCACAACCAATGTATCCAGTTTCCCTCCCTCCCACCGCAAACCTGGACTGCCTCTATGACAGTTACCTCCCTTCTCCTCTCTTCTCCTCCCCTCCCCTTCCCACTCCTCCCCTTTCCTCCCCCCTCCTCTCCCCTCTTCTCTCTCTTGCTCTCTCTCTCTCTCTCTCTCTCTCTCTCTCTTTCTCTCTCTTTCCTTTTGGGCATTATGATTTGCAAATCACAATGCTGAAAGGTTATCACGTTTGTTTCTTAACCTCCTTTCCGCACTCAGTTCTTGTTCAGGGCGATCATTTCCAATTATCACTATCATAGTGGTCCCTTCTCTAACCTAACTACCCTCCTGGGGGTTGAACTTAGGGCCTCAGACTAAGGTGTGTGGTCACAGCCCCACGCCCTACAATTGATGCAGATGATGCTAGCTGAAAGGGGTGTATGTGTGTGCGCGCGTACGTGTGTGTTACCACAGTCCAGCTTATTCACCCTGTATATTTACATGGAGAAAGAAAAGGGAAGTGTCTGGGAGGGGCTTAAGGGGAAGCTGCAGTGATTTCCATCCATAAAACTTGAGCACGAAGATGCTAAAAAGACAGAGAGTAGGTACGGTGCTCGCCCTCGCGCAGCCAACCCAGTTTGATCCCCACCAGCGCACACAAGGTCTCCTGAGCCCACCAGAAGCCATTTCTGAACACACAGCCAGGAGTGAGCCATGAGCACAGCCGGGTGTGGCCCGCCCAACCAAACAAATCTGAACAGACTTTGAGGCTTGACGGTGTCTGTCTTCCCATGCTTGACTGATGACTTCTTTTTCAGGACCAGCACGCTTGTCCCTTGTAAATCGTCTTTGGACCCAGTCACTTCACTCTCCTGCAAGAGAGCAAGCTAAACCGTGATTACACAAAGAACACGGGCCAGTAAAATGAGAGCAAGTTTCATCAAATTGATGTGGTCTGAACAATGCCAAACGGCTGACTATCTGCGGAGAACGCTTTCTCTTTCATTCCTTTGGAAGTCAGGATGCCAATGGTATATGGGTATAGAAATATGGTTGTATTTGTATAGGGCCTATTGGTATATACTACGAAACTTTTCACACTCATTCTATGGCTGTTTCAAACGCTCTTTTGCTTTTCGTGGCTCACCGGGCGGTGGACCTGGGATGTCTCAGGCTTGGGCGAACCATATGGGGTGGTCGAGGATTGAACCAGGGACGGCAAAGGCAGATACACAATATCTCCCTGGCTCCCCCTATATACCATTTATTCTTAATTCCCCCAGATTCAAAAAAAGAGGAGGGTAGATAAAAGTGGAACAGGAGGTGGTTATCTCTGTATCCTGGAGAACGGGACAGGGGCACCTATTCCCAGGGGCGCCTTCTGATTCTAGGGCGCGTTTGGTGGTGGTGGGGGGTGGGGTAGTTTCCAGCGTTGCGAGGTTCAGAAATCGAGAAGCGGCCGCGCGGCTCGGAGGGTCCCGGCTCAGAACTCAGCGCCGCCGGCACGAGGGGGCCAGGGCAGGGCCAGGGGCAGGGCAAGGCCGGGCAGGGGGCAGCAGGTGCCGAGCGCGGTTCCCTGCGCGGCTGGACAGACCCTGCGCGCGCGGGGACTGCAGGTGTGCGCGCGCGCGCGCGCGTGATGGGAGCGCGCGGCAGGTGCGCGCAGGTGCGGGAAGCGCGCGTGATGGGAGCGCGCGGGCGGAGCGCGTGTGCCGGGAGCGCGCGGGTGGAGCGCGTGGGCGGAGCGCGTGTGCCGGGAGCGCGCGGCAGGTGCGCGCGGGTGGAGCGCGTGGGCGGAGCGCGCGCGGGGAGGGAGCGGGCGGAGCGCGCGGCTCCCGGAAGCGGGCGTGGCCGCCCGGCGCGGCTCGTCCTTAAACCCGCGCGCGCGGGGCGCGTCGGCCCCAGGCCCTTGCAGCTGAGCGCCGAGCGCTCGATCGCCGCCGCCGCCGCCGCCGCCGCTGCCGCCGCCGCTTCCCTCCCGCCGTCCCGTAAGTGCGTGGCCGGCGCGCGGGGCGGGGAGCGCGGGGAGCGCACGGTCGGCCCGGCCCCCGCCGCGGCCCCCCGGAGGCTGCCGGGCGCGCGCGCACGTGGGGCACCGCGTCCCGGGAGGCGGGGGCGCGCGTGGCGTCCACCCCGGGGCCGGGTCGCGGCGCGCGCGGGAGCGGGAGGCGTTGGCGCGCGGCGTTTCATTGCGTTTTTTTTTTTTTTTAATTTTTTTTATTTCTCCCTCTCCGCGCAGGGGCCAGCAGCCCGCGATGGAGCGTGCCTTCACCCCGCTGGAGCCCCTGCTGCCCACCGGTACTGTATCGCTCCCCACGCTCCCCGCTGACACACGCTCCGCCCCGCCGCCCCCTCCGCGCTGGCCTCCAGCCTTCACGTTGCGCCTCCCCCCTGGCTCCCGCTTTGGAAGAAGCAGGGTCAGGCCGAGTTCGTGGGGCCGGACTGACCGTGCACCCCTGTCCTGCCCCTAGCGTGCACCCGACACCCACCGAGCCCAGCTCCAAATGAGGGGCTCAAGGGGTCAAGATAAGTCACGGGTATTGCCCTGGACACTGCATTTTACAATCCCCTTGAAAGTGCCCGACCTTATCTAGAAAAACATTAGTAGCCGGAGTGGTCCCCCCACCCCGGAAAAGCTTGGCGGGGGGGGGGGGACCCACCCAGGGTGCTGGAGGATGGTTTAGATTCAAGGGGCCAGGGACAGTAACTCACTCGGGTAGGAGATGGGAAGATGGGTTTTCCTCGAGGCCGTTTAGTGGCATTCACGCTCCTATGTAGTCATTAACTCCTGTGATCATTATGTAATAAATAGAGTTTATGCGTTATCAGCTTTTATTGTGTGTCTGTTGTTAAGAACTTCCGAGTGTAAGTTCAGACTGTTGAACGAAGCACAGCACAGTGTATGATGTCTCTAAAGTTGTTAAGCACGAATCCCTGGGTTTTGGTTGAGACTTGGGAGGGTCTGATTTGAACATCACCCGCCCCCAGTCCCTCCCCCCCCACCATATCCTGGGCGCTTTCGATGTTAAAAGGAATCAGTAGAAGTTTGAGGCTTTGAGCCCTCATTCTGCAATTCTTTCCTATATCGTTTGCATTTAAATGCCTCTCTAGCACCTCTGTGAAGAGAAAGACTGGCAGTGACAAGACTGAAAATCCAAGTTCCAATTTAGGTTTGATTTCTCTAAAGAGGTTGGGTGTTAAATCATTTCTATAAAACGTAGGCGTTTGATTCTTTAATGGTTTGTTCCTAAAATAACACATCTTTTTGGGGAACTAAAAGCAGCTTTTTATTTACGGGGGATGGGGGGGCATACCTCCCCCTCTGGGAGTTTCCTGTCTCAGGCCATGCTGAGAGGCTCTGAGCTCAATGGTTCCCCCCTGCTGTCTCGCCCATCCTGAAAATAGCCCTTTAAAGTTAAGAAGGGCCTGGCAAAGGTAAACATTTTGAAAGTCCAAGTTCATTGTTCTCAGTTCCTCTGTAGCAGACCCGGCAGTGTTTGCAAGAGTTAATACTTAAAACAAAAATCCCTGCTTGGCTGAAGATCTCTGTGTTTTCAAGGCAGAGATAGTAGTTAGGAGTTCCTCATCCTGGTCACATTTGTAGACTATCAACTTCCCTGCACAGCAGTCCAAGGCCTAGTAGTGGTAATAATCCAGGTGGAGACCTGGAGTTTTCACCCTCTCTGCACCTGCAGATGGGCACTGGTACGGGGATGGGGGTGGAATACCACCGCTGCAGTGGGGAGATTGGATGGATCGGGAGAATCAGGGTCTCTTTCCAGCAAAGCTCTGCCACTTCCTGCGAATCATCAGTAGTAATACTGGATTTCGGGTTCCTCAAGTGTCAAATAGAATTTCTCTTGATTGGGACATTAAGGATCTGGGGGTTGTCATTGGTCACCTACAATAGCTTCTGTCCAGGTAGCTAGGAAGTGCACTGGTAAGTCTGAGGGAAGAGCAAAGGGTGTTGGGAGGCAGGGTCAGTGATGAGGTGGGAAAGTTCTAGAATAGGACGCGACTTTGTCAGCTAGAGGCAGCACTTTTGGAGCTTTATTTTTTTGGGGGGGCCACACCGTGTGGTGCTTCGGGCTGACTCCTTGTTCTGCACTCAGGGATAACTCCTAGTGGGCTCAGGAGATCATATGGGGCGTTGGGGATCGAACCTGGGTTGTCTATCACAAGGTAAGTACCCCACCCAGTGTACCATCGCTCCCACCCCACTCCCAGAGTTTTTGAGACCGAGAGACGGCCTGGATTCTATTAGTCAGGCCTCTGGAAGCTGTGTGGAGTCGGGCAGGCTGATGTGGGAGACTGAGGCACCTGGGCACCCGTCTGGAGCTGCCTTCTCTGGAGGCGTCCTGTGAAACTGGCTTGCACACCTTACTCTTGTTCCTTCAGGGAAGAGCACGTAGAAATTCCTGTTTCAGCTCAAGCCTGGTCTCTACATAGGGCCCCTGGTAGGACTCTGCATTTTAAGAGAGCACCCCAAAAACGAAGCATTGCGGGCTGGAGAGAGAGTCCAGGATGAGGCCAGGACAGCAGGAATTTAGGGTAAGCTTAGAACAGCCCTCATACGCGTACAGGAAGACAGTATATGCTTTACATGTTTCATCATCTCTCCCCTTTGCCCATTTTGGCAAATCAGAGGGTGTAATTACAATACAAAATTACAGAAGGTAATTTTTTAACGCTTTCTGTTAAGAACTGGCCTCCGATTCCACTCCGTCTCTGCCTTACCGGTTCATGTACTTAGCCTTCATTCTCATCATTTTCAAACTTGGAAGGGGATTTTTGAAAGAGCAAATTTAAGAATGAAGTTCAAATCATCCTACGTTTACATTAAGGGATCCACTTTAAGATTTGTGATTCAATAAAGTTTCTTGTTATTCACTATCATCACCCTGTTGTTCATCGATTTGCTCGAGCGGGCCCAGTAACGTCTCCATTCGTCCCTGTCACGTGCTGGTGTAGCCCGATGACATATTGGAGGCTCTTTAAGGGTCCGGGGAATGAGGATCATCATTGTTACTGTTTTTGGCATATCGAGTATGCCACGGGTAGCTTGCCAGGCTCTGCCGTGTGGGCGGGATACTCCCGAGATACTCTGCCGGACTCTCCGAGAGGGATGGAGGCTTTTGGGGCTGCCTCTAATCACCTTTACAGGTGTTCCCAGGCAGGCATAAATGCGGGCATGATACTCTCAGTAGTCTGCCGTGTTCTCTGAGAGCGAGAACTAGAGAATAAGAGGTTGTTCTTGTTATTAAACATAAAAAAAAAAATGAACAGCCTCAAAGATAGAAAATCACTGCTCTAAAAGGCCATTCGCATGGGCCTCGGACCCGCCAGGAGGGAAATCCTCATCGTCCCGCTCTGCCCCAGTGCCTGGCACTAAGGAAAGTGCTCATACATCTCTTTAGTGAAAAGATAGACACCAGAGTCCTGCTTAAGGATCAGCTCCCGAGTCCTCCTGGGAGGGGCCCCACACACACTCCCCCCATCCCCCCAATAGTGTTCTAGAACAGTGCAGTGTCAGCTTGACACCTAGTTGTTCAGTAAAGCTCATTGGGATAAACTCCAGATCAAGGCTGTTGTTGGGCAGAGAAGTCATTTCTCTGTGAGTTGCTTCTGTGAATTTAACTTGCAGTGTGCTTAACTGGTGCGCATTCGCAAACTTGGAATAGAGGCAGTGGGTGGTCTGCTTGGGGGGCAAAAGCATCTCTCGGGGATGATGACTAGTTTGGAAAGAGATGAGAGAAAAATACTGATTTTTCTTTTTCCTTTTACTGTACCTAAGGAAGGTGAAAGAACGTATCTCGAATGTGAACTTTTCCTGTAATTCTTCTTCTAAAAAGGACCATTATTATTAAAGCTTGGCATAGGTGTGTAGGTTTCTGTGGATACAGCCTCTTGTTGTCCTAGTTCTCAGCGGGGGTTGACTCGTGTTGTAAAGTGTGTGAGTCGCTCTTTTAAGATAGTGAATGAAGTTATATGTGTCTTTTGACTAAGTTGTATGTACTCTCTGTTAAGTGTCTTGTATTTAAATTTTTTTTTTCTTTTTGGGTCACACCCAGCTTTGCACAGGGGTTACTCCTGGCTCATGCACTCAGGAATTACTCCTGCCGGTTGCTCAGGGGACCATATGGGATTCTGGAAATCAAACCCGGGTTGGCCGTTTGCAAGGCAAACACCCTACCCGCTGTGCTATCGCTCCAGCCAAGTGTCTTTTAAACAACGACTGTTCTATCCTGCGTACCAGAGGTTAGCATTCTAAAACTTTGTGTTTCTGCACTTTGTCTGTAAATAACCGGTCAACTAGAATGTTCGGAGCTTTGTCCTGCAACAGCTCCACTTCCTCCCTTGTGGTCTGTGCTGAGTTTTATTTTTTATTTATTTTTTATTTATTTTTTTGCTTTTCTGGGTCACACCCAGCTATGCACAGGAGTTACTCCTGGTTCATGCACTCAGGAATCTCTCCTGGCGGTGCTCAGGGGACCATATGGGATACTGGAAATCAAACCTGGGTCTGCCGCGTGCAAGGCAAACACCCTCCCTGCTGTGCTATTGCTCCAGCCCCGGTGTGCCGAGTTTTACTTCTTCTCTTCTGGCCACATGTCCTGATGTTGAGGCTTACTCCTGGCTCAGTGCTCTGGGACTCCTTTTGGTGGTGCTCAGGGCTTCATTATGTAGTACCAGGGGTCCCACTGGGTCAGCTGTGGCAGGCCAGTGCCTTAACTCCCGCACTATCTCCCAGGCCCAAGTTCTCCTGTTTAAAGGGCAGCTGAGATTCAAATGAACTTGCTTCATTTCTCTGGCTTTCGTTCCTCGCGAGTTACGGTGTGCGTCTCTGAACATGATACTTTTGACATGTTGCGTTGAGTCTCACCTGGAGCGTCAGCGTTGGGGATTGTCGGATCACAGGGTCTGTTTGTGTATGTGTTGTGAAGAGGCTCTTCCTCTGCTCGTGGTTGTGTGCCCTTCGGTTTGGCCTAGTGGTGTGGAACGACCAGATGTGACTCCCTTAGAAGAGTCTTAAAGGAGGGTCCAGAAGGAAACAAGATGATGGAGTTATATATTATAGTTCCATCCCCCGCCCCCCCCCCCCCCAGAACTGTCAGGATATGAGAGATGGAGATGAGGAATGTTGGAGTGGCCAGAGCATGGGGTCTGCTGGACATCACCGGGGTGGCCGAAAGAGCTTTGGAGAACACAGAGAAGCTTTCTCAGCTTTGGGCCATCTTGAGTGACCTTCAGCTCAATTGTGTGGCACAAATTCAACGGTGATAAGGACAGAGAGGGTT